GCCCAACACTCTGTATCACACAGTGGCCAGAAATACCAGTGCCATCAGGAGGTCCACCAGTGGGGCCAGGACATTAGAAGCCCTCCCACTGTTGACCCCCCCAAGCACCAAGATGACAGAGCATCACTTGCCCCAGAGCCCCTATCTATACCTTGTGGCTAATAGCCACTGATGGACCTCTGCTCCATTTGTTGTTGTTCAGTCGCACAGTCGAGTCCGACTCTTCGCGACCCCATGGACAATCTCCCGCCAGGCTCTCCTGTCTTCCGCCGTCCTCCGAAGTTGGCTCAATTTCATGTTCGTTGCATCGCTGACACTGTCTAACCATCTCATCCTTTGCCGTCCCCGTCTTCTTTGACCTTCAATCTTTCCCAGCATCAGGGTCTTTTCCAGTGAGTGCTCCCTTCTCATTTGGTGGCCAAAGTATTTGAGTTTCAGTTTCATTATCTGGCCTTCCAGGGAACAGTCAGGGTTGATTTCTTTGAGGATTGACTGATTTGTTCTTCTTGCAGTCCAAGGGACTCTCAAGAGTCTTCTCCAGCACCATAGTTCAAAAGAATCTATTCTTCGGCGCTCGGCCTTCCTTATAGTCCAACTCTCACAGCCATACATGACTACTGGGAATACCATTGCTTTGACCATGCGGACTTTTGTTGGCAGGGTGATGTCTCTACTTTTTATCATGCTGTTTAGGTTCGCCATCGCTTTCCTCCCAAGGAGCAGGCGTCTTTTAATTTCATGGCTGCAGTCACAGTCTGCGGTGATCTGGGATCCCAGGAACGTGAAGTCTGTCACTACTTCCACGACTTCCCCTTCTATTTGCCAAGGAGTGATGGGGCCGGATGCCATGATCTTAGTTTTTTTGATGTTGAGCTTCAAGCCCACTTTTGCGCTCTCCTCTTTTACTCTGAGCAAGAGGCTCTTTAGATCCTTTTCACTTTCAGCCATTAGAGTGGTATCATCTGCATATCTGAGGTTGTTGATCTTTTCCCCAGCAATCTTAATTCCCGCTTGTGATTCATCCAGGCCAGCATTTCGCATGATGTACTCTGCATATATATTAAATAAGCAAGGCGACAATATACATCCTTGTCGTACTCCTTTTCCTATGCTGAACCAATCAGTTGTTCCATATCCGGTTCTAACTGTCGCTTCTTGGCCCTTATACAGGTTTCTCAAGAGACATGTGAGGTGGTCTGGTACTCCCATCTCTTTAAGGACCTGCCATAGTTTGTTGTGATCCACACAGTCAAAAGCTTTAGCATAGTCAATGAAGCAGAAGTAGATATTTTTCTGGTACTCTCTTGCTTTCTCCATAATCCAGCGAATGTTGGCAATTTGATCTCTAGTTCCTCTACCTCTTCGAAACCCAGCTTGTACTTCTGGTAGTTCTCTATCCACGTACTGTTGAAGCCTAGCTTGTAGGATCTTGAGCATGACCTTGCTAGCGTGTGATATGAGTGCAATTGTGCGATAGTTTGAACATTCCTTGGCGTTGCCCTTCTTTGGGATTGGAATGCTCCATATGCTTATCTAATTCCCTTTTGAAGCCGTCCATGTTGGATTCTGTTCCTCTAAAACTACGCATGCTCCTAGAAGCAAGGCTAACTAAAACAAGTCATGATCTTACCACCTTTTCAGGGTCAAGACTTGACTCAAGAGGTGAACAGGGAGAACGGATGGATTCGAGTTCAGCACACGCACACACATATGGTTTCCCCCCCCCCGACGAGCTCAGCCACACCCCCAACGTTGGCAACGTGGCTGCGTCACCTCTGGTGACGCAGCTTCGGGGGCGGGATTCCCCCCGGGCCCCAATCTCGCCAGGGCGGGGATCGGGGGCTCCAAAGCGGGGGGTTACCCGCCCCCCCGGGCACATTTGGTAACCCTAAACGGAGCTGTTCTGCCAGGCCTGTGGCTGAGGCAACGGGCATCCATCTATGGCCTCCCTGAGGTCCTTGTCACCCATTTATTAACAGCTGGCTGTCATTTACCCATTATCAATGGGCCAGGGAATCTCTCACAGCGAACCAATTCTATCCTTGGACTGTGACCATCATTTTAATGTATATTACTGTGTTTTAAATCTTTCATTACATTTATTGTATTGTTGAAATGTTGTTACCAGCCCTTAGCCTCCTCATGGGAAAGGCGGGCTATAGAGACGATAAATAAATACATACATACCTACATACAGCTGTTCTCCTGCAGATAAACATGGCTGCCCTCTAAAACTCTCTTCATGGGAGAATAGAGACACAGCTTTAGATTTCTCTACCTGGCCCACTGCATATGTGATTTATTTATTTTTTTGCCACAAGGGTGTATGCTTTTATCAGGGGTCAAGTAGTAATCTATGGGGCAGAAATATTTTTAACAAGTTCTAGAAGAAGAAGAGGAGGAGGAGGTGGTGGAGGAGATTGGATTTATACCCTGCCCTTCACTCAGAGTCTCAGAGTGGCTTACAAACTCCTTCCCCTTCCCCTCCCCACACCAGACACCCTGTGAGGTAGGTGGGGCTGAGAAGGCTCTGAGAAAACTGCCCTTACAAGGACAGCTCTTGTCGGAGCTATGGCTTGCCCAAGGTCATCCAGCAGTTGCAAGTGGAGGAGTGGGGAATCAAACCTGGTGCTCCCAGATTAGAGTCTGCGCACTTAACCACTACACCAAACTGGCTCTCTAGAAGGAAGCACAGTGGCAGTGGGGGAACAAAGATAATTGTGGGAGGCTTTTCTTTGTACAACAAAAGAGCTTTTACAGGAACAGCCAGATGGCTTCCTCGGCTGACACATCTCTGTTTCATAACACTATAAATTCATGGGCCTTTTGCTTCTAAGAAATGGATCAAGATGTCGGACTGAGGCCAAATCTTCCCTGCAGGTTTTATGGAACTGAACTCACAACTGGGCCAATGTCAACTGCTTTTGAAATTCTGTTGATTTTGCACTGGAAGAGCTAAGCACACTAAGCACTGGAAGAGCTAAGGACTGAAAATGCTTCATTTTGACTGCGTTGAGCCCTGTGTGTTCAACCAACAGGTTTAAACTCTCTGAACGTATCACCTTCCATATGCTCCTCCCCAATACAAATATAATTTCCATTATAGTAGGTGCAGCAATATAAATTTGCATTCTCTCTCTGGCTGGAGGCTCTGTCATGTGTTTGTTGCTTTAAACCAAAAAGCTTCTCTCTTGTTTTCTTTCCCCTCATGTTTTTCTTCCTCTTGTAACCCCAGTGCTTTGACACTGCCTTGAGGCATCTTACAATAGCAACAACAACTGAATCCAGGGCAGCTCCCCCACTGCAGAAGATAAAATACTGGTTAATCTGATGCTTCTCAGATGTGGAAACCATTTTTTTTTAAAAGCATAGTTTTAGCCAAACTCTTGTTGAACTTTGTCTTTAAAGAGTTGCATTGACTTCCACATGAACGTACATGAAGCTGCCTTATACTGAATCAGACCATTGGTCCATCAAGTTCTGCAGCTCTCCGGGGTCTCAGGTAGAGGCCTTTTACATCACCTACTGCCTGGTCTTTTTAACTGGAGATGCCATGGGTTGAACCTGGGACCACCAGCACGCCAAGCAGATGCTCTGTCACTGGGCCACGGGCCCTCCCTTGGCCTTCAACAGGAACAACGGCATTCTGCTCTTTGTTGACCCCGGAAGACTTTACCAAGGGAGATGCTTCAAGGAGTACATCACGTTTCAATACAGAACATAGGTCTGGCTGCCCCCATCCCTCAAAAGGGTATCATAAAGCTGGAAAAGGTACTGGGAAAAGAAAGAAACCAAAAGCCATCAAAGGATTAAATAATCTTTCCTGTGTACTCAAGTGTTCAAGGACTTTTTAGTTCTGAAAGAAAAGATGACTCAAAGGGTCTGTTCACATAGGGGAAGGGCTGTGGCTCTGTGGTAGAGCATCTGCTTTGCATGCAGTGGGACCCAAGTTCAGTCCCGGACATCTCCAGTTAAAAAAGGAACAGGCAGTAGGTGACGAGAAAGGCCTCTGCCTGAGACACTGGAGAGCTGCTGCCAGTCTGGGTAGACAATACTGACCAGTATAAGGCTGCTTCATGTGTTCATGTGTGTTCATGTGTCCACCCTCATCCTGTTGACCAGCCCTGCTGTGAAAGTTCTGTGCATAGAACGTAATTCCCTGGGGTGTGGGGACTTGATTCAAATCAGCACTGCGTTACTGCTCAGAAATTACGATCCAAGCATTGAACTTCCACTGCACATCTGGTTGACAAGTCCAGGGAGGGCAGGTAGGCGAGATGAGGTCATGAGGTCAAGCATCCAAATAGATTTATAAAATTATGAACAGCATGGGAGAGTGGAAACAGGTTAATTCTTCTCCCCTTCTCACAATAACTGGGGAGGGGGAGATATCAAATGAAGTGCGTTGGCAAGTAAGTTGAGGAGCAGAAAAGGAAATACTTCAAACAACTAGAAAGTAACGTACGCCAGTCACTGCCATGCCATGTAATGCCATTCTGTTAAGTCATGCCCTGTTCCCCAGAGTTCCTACCTGAGTTGCAGTCTCTGATCTCATCTAAGAGTAGATCAGACCTATACTAGCTAAACCTCAGCAAGGTTGTGGTATTGTTGTCTTCCATCCATACTGTGAGAACTTACATGTGAAGTCTGCTCAGAAAAGTCTTCCCCGAAAACTTTTGTATTGTTACTGAAAACGAGTTGACTTGCTAAGTTGGTTTAAATGCCTTCAGTGTGTCTGATAAACCTTGTGGGTGCCATCAGTTCCTTGAGATGGCTGTTAGCCATGATGATTAAATGGAATCTCCAGGTTCAAAGGTTGTGACTCTCTGCATATGAATGTTGAGGTGGGGGGGAAAAACCTGGGGGAGGTGTTAGCCTTCTGGAGACAGAGGGTTGGCAATTGTACAAAAAAGGATGCAAGACTAGATGAATCGGTAACCTGCTCATATGTCCTTATGTTCCTAAGTAGAGTGGTGATCTTCTATACATTGTTTCCCCAGCACTGTGTGGCATCGTGGCTACGATTTGGTTCCCCGTAAGCGCTCACCGTGAGACGATGATAATGAGCTTCGGATACTCTCTCTACACGGGCTGGATCGGTTCTGCTCTTTGCCTCTTTGGTGGGTGCATCATCGCCTGCTGCTCGGGAGACGCGCAGTCGTTTGGCGAAAACCGCTTCTACTACGCCTCAGGATCCAGCTCTCCCACCCATGCTAAAAGCGCCCACGTATAAAACACTCTGGAGACTTCGTACCTTCATCGAGTGCTTTGAAACGGGTCGATGGGTTTTCTTTGTGTGTTGAATTCACTTACATCTTCATGCACAAGGTGGCCGTATCCCTGGACGAGGAGTTGCTGAACTAGCCCAAGTAATCTGATATCGTAAAAGTATGAAACCCGCACGATTCCCTTAATAGACCAGACCATTCTCGGAATATGTCCAGCTGTCCATGCTCCTATGCTCATGATTACTATTGAAAAGCATTCACTGGTCTGGCCTTTTATCCCTTTTCTTTTCTCTCTCCTTCAGAAAGTGAGCTAACAAAAGTGCAGGTTGTTTTGAATTGTCCGCATGATCTGTAATTTCCCCAGCATTAAGTTGCCATCTCTTCTTTCCCCCCCACCCTGTTTCAAGGCCGTTGTGGGGACAAACGTATGATGAAACGGGGAGGAAGAAACTGTATTGTCCCATGTGCACAAATGTTTCCCTTCTTATGAGATTAGGGGGGTTTCTCTTTGCTTTCTCTGTTCTCTTTTTAAAGGAATCTGATCACTTTTGTAACAGTGTTTTTGCCTAAACGCATCAGTATGAAGGAGGCACAGCCAAATGTTTCTAATTACAAGGTAAATAACAGAACATTTGTACATAGTCTTAAATATAAGTAATGGGGCTAATCCCCAGACCACCCTTCCCCCCCTTTTTTGTACAGTTTTGTTGCTAAAATGTACTCCCCCCCCCTTTTTACTTTTTTCCAATTAATTTGTATTCTGACATGCACTATTGGTGTGGATCTTGTCTAAAATGTATCCTATAATCTATCAGATGCCAATTCAGTAAAATCCAATGAATACTGATGATGCCTTTGTTCTGAAGTACTGTACAATATCCAGAAATAAATGTTGACATTACTAGTCTGTTTCCTTCTCATTATGCCACCAGATGTCTTTTCTTCCAGGTTAGCCTTTTTTCTTTTTTCTTTTTTTTTTTGCGAATTTTCATTTTGCTTTCTTCTTAGGCAATTGGCAATCAGTTCTGCCCTGCAAATAAGAACATTATGGGAGGGGAAACTGTGTCATTTTTGTTGTTGTTTAAATTCTAGTGAATTTCTGGCTATTATGATATAAGCTTTTGGTTGGTCACTGATAAGGTTAGATATTGCCCAGTGGACATTGAACGTGTTGGTCCTGAGTTGACTTTGGAGTCAAGCAGACTGCAAACAAAGTTTTGCCATTGTTGTGTTAATTTCATATTTCCCCCCCCCTTCATTCTCTCTCTCTGACACAATGTTCGCAATGTGGACTGCCATTCCACAGCTCCTTGGCAGAACATTTGTGTGCATTACATCACAGGCCCCTGGTACAGTTCCTCGTTGTATCCCCCCCCCAAAGAGAAACAATAAGCACTGGCATTGTGAGATGTGGGCGCCACCGAGGAATGTGTAACACACAGATGTGTGGCTTTGTGATAGTGGAGTGTGTTGTTTTTGTGCATGCCACTTTCTGCTCAATGGATCCCATTCAGAGGGCTGGAAGGGGGGGGTTGAGCATGTCTTGAGAGCATCTGAGAGCAATCACTGTTGGGATGTGAAATCTGTAAAGAGGTCGGGGAAAAGATGGGCTCTTCAGCACTGACTGCAACGTTGCTCTACTTAGACAAATTTCAGAGGGCAAGCAGAGGGAGAAGTTGCAAAATGGGGATTGGTTAACCAATCTGGCTCAAGCTCTCATTGATAAAGTGTCTCTCATTTGACTACGTTTCGGATTCCTGTCCAGTGCTCGTGTACAATGTTGCAGCGAATGTTCAGGTTGTGTATGATATCCGTAACGAGCACGCATTTTGTATTTCCAGTTCTATTATATTTTGAACCCTCCTTTCCTTCACGGAGCTCCAGTTGCAGTTTCTCCTCCATTTTTGCCTCAACATCCTCGGGTGAGGTAGGTTGGGCTAAGAGAAACAGGGCCTAAATACAAATGGGTAGCCATGTTGGCCTGAATCTGCAGAACAAAGTTTGAGTCCAGTGGCACCTTTAAGACCGACAAAGTTTTATTCAAGGTTTGAGCTTTTGTGTGCATGCACACTTCCTCAGATACAGTTAAATGGAATTTACCAGTCCACACATATAGGCAGAGGGTGGGCAGTAAATTAGCATGCAATACAACGAAGATATGTATCAGATTCAGGAATGACAAGCTTAGTTTAGATTGTTACCGTTTAACATAATGAAGATGTTTGAACAGATGCAAAGACCTAACAGGAATAACAAGCTAAATTGACATGGTCACCATTTGTTTGGATTCAATTCTGAGGGGAAACACAAAGAAGTAAATAAATATGTCAAAATTGGAGACTGATGTATCCTTAATTGTGAAATGCTAAGAGTCTTGGTTAATTACTCTTAGCATTTCACAGTGACTGCCCACCCTCTGCCTATATGTATGGACTGGTAAATTCCATTTCGTTGTATCTGAGGAAGCGTGTGTGCCCACAAAAGTTCATACCTTGAATAAAACTTGGTTGGTCTTAAAGGTGCCACTGGACTCAAACTTTGTTCTAGGGCCTAAATACATGTCACGCGTTTTCTTCCGGGACATCCCCGGGGCGGGTGGAGACACATATTCTGAAGTTCTGCATTTCCCAGGTATGTGTGGGGCCAATTCAGAGTGGGACAGTGATGCACAGAGATCAGGGTCTTAGACCTCCCCCTATGCTGGGGGGGGGCTTGTTCTCTGAGCAAGCATGGTAGTTTGTCAGAGATGCTGGCCTGCCCCTTGCTGCATTTTGCCACCACTTAGGTTGCCAGGTGCCCACTGGCCACTGGGAAACTCCAGGCTTTGAAACTCTTGGAGATTTGGGGGTGGAGCCTGGGGAGGATAGGGACCTCAGTGGGGTACAGTGCCATAGACTCCACCCTCCAAAGCATCCCTTTTCTTTAGTTGTTGTAGATTTTCCGGGCTGTATGGCCGTGGTCTTGGCATCCCTCTTCTGCCAGGCAACTGATCTCTGTAGTCTGGAGATGCTATAGTCTGGAGATGATGTAATTCTGTAGTCTGGAAATGCTGCAATTCTGGGGATCCCCAAGTCCTACCTGGAGGCTGGCATCCTTAGCACCTCTGTAAGTGCTGTCGCTGCCACTGGATCAGGAGGGACCCAGTGACACACCAGGCAAACAAAGTTCCTTCCACCTAGTCCCTTAAAGATTCTGGCACTGAGTCACTTCCCAATCAGAGCAACCATCTGCTGAGCTGGTGATTTGCTGTCAGGTTGTCCGCTCCTACTTAACCTCCTCCTGCGGCCAGTGGTGGGTGTCATAAGTCTACCATGGCACCAGGGCAATTCACAAAATGTTTGGAGGTCCCGAGCCAGGCCTATGAAGGAAGCAGCTGTATTGGAATGGGCGCTCTCTGCAAACACAAAGGCGTGTCCTCTCCTGGGCTCTTCTGGAGCACCTCTCACTCCAGTGAAGCAGAGAAAAGCCAGGGCTGGGTCTTTGCTTTGGGGAAGAGACAGTTTAGGGAAGGAACAAGTGGACAGTCATCGCGGGCACATTGGCCATCACTGGAATACCCCATTAACACTGCAGTCTTAAGAACACTTTCCTGGGAATAGACGTCAATAGGATTGTGTGTAGACCTGCTTTGCACTGTAAGCTTCCCAGATAACTAAATAATAACAGGATTCCAAAGTGTGCAATTGCTTTTCAATTATTTTCCTCCACTGCAATAGATAGAAGAAGAGGAGGAGGAGGAGGAGGAGGAGGAGGAGGAAATTGGATTTATATCCCACCCTTCACTTGGAGTCTCAGAGTGGCTTACAAACTCATTTCCTTTTCCTTCCCCACAACAGACACCCTCTGAACAGGGCTCCCTCTGAGCTGTGAAGTCTTGTGAGCAAAATTCTACTCTGTGAGCTACTGGCATTAAAGTTGTGAGTGAGTGATTTGGCTGCTGCATAAATTAGTTTGCTCTGGAGCCATCCTTCCTTAAGACAAAAATGTGTGAGCTGGAGGCTAAAAAACTCTGAGCTAGCTCACACTAACTCAGCTTAGAGGGAACACTGCCTGTGAAGTAGGTGGGGCTGAAAGAGCTCTTTCGAGAACTGCTCTTTCAGAACAGCTCTGACAGAACTATGGCTTGCCCAAGGTCATCCAGCAGCTGCAAGTGGAGGAGTGGGGAATCAAACCTGGTTCTCCCAGATTAGAGTCTATGCACTTAACCACTACACCAAACTGGTAGATGATAGATAGATAAATCAAGGTGGCCTGTATCTGAAGTAGTGAGCAGTGAATCAGAAAAGTTCATACCCTGCCGCATATTTTGTTAGTCTTTAAGGTGCTACTGGACTCTTGCTGTTTTCGATAGATAGATGATAGATAGACAGATAGACAGACAGATAGACAGACAGACAGATAACTTTTTTTGGAATACTACATTGCCTCAGGCTTTATAATTTTAAGATAACCCTAAAATTAGGCTTGCCAGTCACCTCCAGTGTTCCCTCTAAGCTGCGTTAGTGTGAGCTAGCTGAGTTTTTTAGCCTCCAGCTCACACATTTTTGCCTTGGCTCAGGAAGGGCGGCTCTAGAGCAAACTAATTTATGCAGCAGCCAAATCGCTCGCTCACAACTTTAATGCCAGTAGCTCACCAAGTAGGATTTTTGCTCACAAGACTCCGCAGCTTAGAGGGAGCACTAGTCACCTCCCCGGCTTTTTCTCCACACTGGTACTCAGTTGGGCTCACTTTCCTACTGAAGACAGTTTAAGGTGGGTAGCAGCGCTGGTCCTCGGCAGAAGAGCTAAATCCAAGTCCACATGCACCTTAGAGACCAACAAGCTCCCTTCATCCTTTCAGGCGGGTATCTTTGGCTCTCAGAAACTTACACGTGCTCCTGGACTCGAATCAATCTACTGATAACAGATTCTGATAACCTGCAGGAAAGAGAAAGGTTCAGTATCCCTGACCTGTGTTCCCCCTTTTGTTCTTTAAGGAGGACCCTCTTTCCCCTCATGTGATCAGGGCAGACCCTCCGTTAAGGAACGAGTTCTTCTGCTGTTGTGTTGAGTTTGGGCCTGTTTCATCCTACTAAGCAATGAGGAGAAATTTAGCCCTTCCCTAGATGTCTGGTGGGGAAGGATGGTCAAATTCTCCTCTCCACTTGGTAGGAGAATGCCGACCAAGAGGTTACACGCACACTTGGGGTTAAGTGCCCGCTAAGTAAATGGTTGTCTTTGTACCCAGCAATGTTGACTTCTTCATAGCTCCTCCCCTGCATGAAGAGAATGTTGACACTTTCTGCAGTCTGAATGGTCCTTCTGTAGGTTCTCGGGAGTCGTATCCAGTTGCTTCTTTGGGGCCCCTCTATTTATCCTGGTCTGTGGGCTCGGCCACCTCTGATGTATGCGTGTGGGGGGGAGGGTGGCGTGGGATAATAGCATTCTCTATTGTAACCCAAGGTCGGCAGCACAAGGATGGCCACTGTCTTCCAAAACTCTATAAATAGCGGTTATCCACAGATCACATGGCTATCCCCAAACGCTATGTAAAGGCTTAGCAGCCCAGAAGAAGCACTGAGGAGCATTGTCTTGGGCAAGGAGCTCCCTGGCTCTCGGAGTGGGCAGTGAATGGGGGGGGACAGATTCACAAAGGCCCATCGGTCTCCTCGGTCCCCCCACCCCAGCAGCTGATGGTGCTAGGCAGGACCACGTCTTACGTACCGTCTGTAGCTTCAGCTTTCCTTCCGATGCAGACCCTAAAGGGAGGTGGACGACTTTCCATTCCGTTGGCCTCAGAGACGACAGAGACGCAAGGCCCAGTTGGTACTGGTTTTGAAAACTGGCTTCTATCGGTGAAAGGTCAGGGAAGCTTGAGACCGCCCCCTGCTGCCAGCTGACTCCTGAAGTTG